CCTTATGTTGAAGAAAGTTCTGGTCATCTGCACAGTTGTAGCCCATCATGGGTTTTCTGTGAGTGGAGTGATTCCTGTGCAAGTCCAAGGTGGGTTCCTGGTAAACATGCCAGAAAGCTATCGCCGTTTAGAGGATGATGATCTAAGAAATAATTGAGTTGAACTGCAGACAGTATTGTCAAAGCAGGTAGATTTGATATTGTGAAACTGGGACCTTTTCTGTGCCTTTGATAAGAGGAGTAGCTGGAATTTTTTTGTATCTGGGGAAGGCACCAAGCCTTCCATGCTCGTTTTTTGCTGTTTCAGGGATCATTTCCATGTGTTTGCACCCCCTGGAGGTGAAACATGGGGTGCAAAGTGATGGCTTCTGTTTCATTCAAGAGCCATGGACATCCAGACTTGGCCCCTTTGCTTTTTTCAACGCTAATTTATATTTACTTAGTGTGTAGAGCTGATGTGATTTTATAATTCCTGTTATGTCATTGCTCTCATCATGTAAATGAAGAACATTAAGCAGAAATCTTATTCAAAGTTACATAACTCATAATAAAGGAATCTTTCCATTTTAAAGTCATAATGTTTGCCCCTCTACTGTGGAATGTTAAAAACTTTAACCTCAGAAGAACCTGCTAGGCTTGTATAATTATGTACTGTTACAAATGTGGTGTCACAATTTCTAAACAGGACTACAAATTCAAAATGGTAATCCACTTCGATGACATTCTGGAAAAGGTAAAGGTAGAAGAACAGACCTGTGTTTAAAGGTAGATTCAGTATAAAGAGGCACCATGATTGTATTCCTTTGGGTTGATGGCGTGTCTTCTGTCTTGATGGTGGTGTCCATCATCACACAAAGCCACGCCATGACCACGATGAATCAAGACAAAAGCAAAGGCATTCAGGTCTGTATACCTGATGAAAGAGAACAGGTTTCCAATGAATAAAAATAACAAAAACTCCCCCTTTGTCACTAGCATGATTTGTGCTTCTTACAAGTTAGGTTTGGCAAGTCATATATTCTGTGCTCTATATAAAAATGGTAATCATTACCCGAGGTAGTATTAAGTTCATTTCCTCACAGTATACATTGCAGAAAAATGTCTTGTTTTCCTAAATGGAAATCAAATTGTCTATCACAAAGGAAATGAAAGAAATCCTTTTAAGTGTGCTGTTACTGCTACATCCCAGTCATTTATGGTTTGTGGTCATTCTTTCTTTTAAAATTCTCACAGAGGATGTTTGATTTTATTTTTTACTAGAGGTCTGGTGCATGAAAATTTATGCACTCAAGGGGGACCCTCAGCCTGGCCTGCGCCCTGGCAGTCCAGGACCCCTCAGGAGATGTTCACCTGTCGGCTTAGGCCCACTCCCTGGGGGATCATGCCTAAGCTGGCAGACAGACATCCCTCTGGCAGGCCGGGAGCCCGGGGAGTGAGCCTAAGATGTCAGTCAGATATCCTTAGCGCTGCCCCTGTACTTAGAGCTGTCAGCCTGGCTTGTGGCTGAGCAGAGCTCTCCCTATGGAAGCACACTGACCACCAGGGGGCAGCTCCTGCGTTGAGCATCTGCCCCCTGGTGGTGAGTGCACATCATAGCAACCAGTCATTCCCAGTGTTTCCACAGTTAGGGGCAATTTGCATATTACCTTTTATTGTACTAAAGGCCAGGTGCACAAAATTCGTGCACTGGAGGGGGGGGTCCCTCAGCCCGGCCTGCACCCTCTCGCAGTCCAGGTCCCCTCAGGGGATGTCTGCCTGGCCACGGGGAATGGCCCTAAGCCAATAGTTGGAAATCCGTCTAGTAGTCCAGGACCCTTTGCTTCTTACCACCCACCTGATCACTGCTCCTTACCACTTGGCTCGCTGCTCCTTAGTGCTGCCACAGAGGCAGGAGAGGCTCCTTCCACCACTGTGCTTGCCAGCCGTGAGCCCTATCTTTCTGTGTAGTTGTCTGTGGGCCAACTGCTCTCTTCCTTGTCATTTAGGGCGAGCAGCATGTGAGGGCAGAGCGTGCTGTCGTGGAACACAGAGGGCTGTCTGGAGCTGAGGGGAGTGGCTGTGCCCATGGGGTGAGAGGTGGACACAGAGGATTCTATCTCACCCAATTGTGGGGCCGGCTGGCCGGCCTTCATCTGCATGACCCAACTCAGGGAGGGACCGAGCAAGGTGTCCACCTCTCCATTCTCCATCTGTGACACCTGTCACCCTTGCCAGGCCTCCCCCAAAGTGAGTTCAGCTCAATCCCTGAATGTAAAAGGGCACGGGCGGTGGGGGGGGGGGGGCCCTGCAGTCCAGTACCCCAGTTCCAAGCGACAGGACCTGGTGAACAGGACCTGATCTCAGGATGGTGGCCACAGCTGCAGAACATAGATCTATTTCAAGAAGAGTTGGAAATGCAGACTTTCGTATGAGCCCCTACTCCAAAAGGTGGCAGTTTATTCACACTGTGGCAAAGACACCTTCAAGAGTAACATAAGTGGGTAAAGTCAGGGCCAAGCCGGGCCATTTCTTCATCCAATCTCTCTGAAGTGCATGGAAAGAACCAAGTCTCAAGTCTCAGCTCTTCGCAGGACACTTCCGGGTATTTTTTAAGCCTAAAGGAGAGTAGTCTGTCTCCATTCTTGTTCTTTCGGATTTTTTCATCACTGGATAAAAGTATCCGTACATGGGGCAATCCTCTCGAGATACAATATTCCACTGGCACCCATGTGACGACAGCACCCTCAGAGGGAGGGAGCTGACAGATGGGGAGCAGGGAATTCTGAAAACCAAAGCAATGACAGAGATGCTAAGCCTTTCCTTCACGCTTGTGACACTCCTCCTCAGGCGGCCTGCAGGCCAGGTGTCTGCTGGGCCTTTACCACTTGATGTCCTGCCCTGTGTGCCCCGCCCCAGCCCCGGAGTGCAGCGGGTATCCGGGCACGCCCCTCCCCCAGCTGGGAGAGTCCCCACTGTACTTCCACCTCCTTGGGAAACTTTGCTTTTCCAGCTCTGTCCCTGCGGGAGAGCCATAGGGGTGCCGGATTCCTTTCCTTCCTTCAAAAGTGCCCTGAAAAGCGCACAGACAGCTATGCCGGAGAGGGGTCGATCAAGTTCAGCAAGAGTTTGTGATTTGCTGAAGGCACGATGTACAGTTTTCTCTTACCCCATTTGCAGGAGTGTAATCTGATTTAAAACCAATGTACTAAACAAACAGAAGCACTTTCTAGAAAATCAATTTGGAAATGTGGGTCAAAATTCAAGTGAATTAGCTTTAGGCCAGGAGTTCCATGTCTTAATGTGTCCTAAGTAAACAGTCAAATAAGCAGTTATGTTTACTGTAGTTGTTGATGCCAGGGGAAACCGGAGACAACCTGCCCCATAATAAAGGGTTAGTGAAGTAAACCATAGTAATGTCACACAGTCAGGGATAACACTGTAGCCATTAACAATTATGTCTGTACATCCAATTCGATGACATGAAAAGAAGGCCATAGCCAAATATGAAGTGGAGGGCAGGGGAAGCTCAGAGGACTGCATGTATATTTATATGTATGTATATTTTATATGTACAGGGAACTCTGGGCCCCGGGTTTGAAGGCCGGCCATGCCCCCAATTGCGGGAGACCCAGAGTTCTGCCGCATCCCGGCCAGGGCCCCGAGCTTCTTTCCGCCGCCACACCCAGGCCAGGGCCATTGTTTGGTTGTCCGTCACTGCCCCCACTGCCGGCCTGGTCACCCCACGCAACCTCAGGTTCGGTCATTTAGGTCATGATGGCCCCTGGCTTTTTATATATTAAGATAGGATACAGTAGAACCAAGGTTCGCAAACAAAATTTGTTCAGGAATGCTGTTTGAGAAATGATTTCTGGGAAAACCGAATCATTTTTCCCCCTTTAGAAATCATGTAAATTGAATTAATCTGTTCCAGATGCCAAAATAATTCTGTTAAAACTTTTCTTATATATTGCACATGTCTAATCTATAAATAAACACTTCTTTCCTTCAATTTATCGAACCACCCCCTACTACCTGTAAAGGAATCACTTTTATCATTCAGGTGACTATCTTTACTTGTTCCATTGTCTCCAAAATGGCTGTCACTGGCTAAATGCCTTCCCTTTATCCAAATGAACAAGTTTTTTGCCTCTTCAGTGGCCTGTGATTAGCATTCCAGTGCTAATCATTGATTTCACTCCCAACAAAAGCACTCTCTCTTTGTTGCCTGAAAGAAGCTTTTAGGCATGCTGAGGTGTCAGCTTGAAGACTGTCAGTTACAAAACTAAGGTTTGGTTCCACCATGGACACTTTTTTTTTTCTGTGTACAACTTGGTCAAGAACAGAACTGTTCGAGATGGGAGATATTTGAGAAATGAGGTTTGACTGTACATATTTTAAAATTTATTTTCATTGTTGAAAATATTACTGATGTTCCACCGCTGTTTATTGATTTCTTTCTGAGAAAAAAAACATCTATATGAGAGAGAAACATTAATGGTCATCTTTGCTATGTACCTAAACCAGGGACCAAACCGAACACCTAAGGATTATGCCCTGACCCCGAATGGAAACCATGACATTTCAGTGTATGGGAGGATGCTCAACTGAACAATACTGACCAGGGTAGTTTGCAGTTATTCATATTAATTTAATCATTTTATTACATCACTTTTACAAATACAGATGTGATTTGGTTGATGTTTGGCTGAAGGGAACTTTGTAAAAGAAAGCATGATGGAAGTTTTTAATATTATGCATAACAAAGAAGTCTAATGCTAAAAGTGATAAAGAAATTAAAAATGTAACTTGAGGAAAACATTTGAATTTGTACAAATATAATTTTGATTCAGAATGTATTAAAAGAAAACAATTACAAAATGACCTGAAATTACATAATTCCAACGAATACTTAAACATAGCCTCAGGAAATAAAAACAGAATAGTTCTTCACAGAAGAGTGCTTAGGAAACAGTTAATACTTCCTTAAAAATTACAGATGCAATTATTACAGAAAAATTACAGATGCAATTATTACAGAAAAATGCATAACTTTAATCAATACAACCAAAGACAAATGAAAACATTGAGCTAACACTCATCTCTGAGTGACAGCACACATCCAGAATCTGCCTGAAATGAGGACAGTGCTGATTCTCACATGGAAGGACTGGCTCAGAGCCCTCACTGCAGAGGGTGGTACAAGAACAAACTGTCACGGGGCTCCTTGGCACTGCACCATTGCAGCTGTCACAGTGGGATCTGAATCACAGTCAGTAGTAGAACCAACAGGACAAGATGATTACTAGTCAAATTAGACCTCATGCAAATGCAATCTAGAGAACAGTGTGTACCCTTCAGAAAAAAGCCTCAAACATGACAGTCTGCATTTGTTGCCTGGTGGACACCTATAGGCTTGCAGGAAAAGCCAACCTATGTTGGGTCTTTACTGTTGAATTCTGAACAACTGTAAAGCCTATACCTGACATCAATGGAAGTAAAGCAGTGGCTTGCAGTTTTGACGATCTTCTTGGCTGTCAAGGGCAAGATTGAGAAAAACAAACTAAAATATTTTCTTAATGTATACTTTATAGCATAGTTCCCAGCTAAAAGCAACACAAAAACCAAACATGAAAATAATTCACATGGGACTCTACAGTGAACTATAAGTAAATACAAATATATAACACATACTTATTAACTAAAACTAGAAGCCCGGTGTACAAAAATTTGTGCACTCAGGGTGTGGGGGGTCCCTCAGCCCGGCCTGTGCCCTCTCGCAGTCTGGGACCCCTTGGGGGATGACCACCTGCTGGCTTAGGTCCACTCCCCGGGGGATTGGGCCTAAGCTGGCAATCAGACATCCCTCTGGCAGCCTGGCAGCCCTTGGGGGATGTCCACTTGCCAGCAGGGAGCAGGCCTAAGCTGCAGTCTGACATCCTTAGTGCTGCTGAGGAGGCGGGAGAGGCTCCCGCCACCACTGCTGTACTGGCAGCCATCAGCCTGGCTTGTGGCTGAGCAGAGCTCCCCATGTGGGGTGCACTGACCACCAGGGGGCAGCTCCTGCATTGAGCATCTGCCACCTGGTGGTCAGTGTGTCATAGTGATCAATCATTCCCAGTTGTTCTGCTGTTAGGGTCAGTTTGCATATTACCCTTTTATTATATAGGATAGAGGCCTGGTGCATGGGTGGGGGCTGGCTGGTTTGCCCTGAAGGGTGTCCCGGATCAGGGTGGGGGTCCCCACTGGAGTGCCTGGCCAGCCTGAGTGAAGGGCTGATGGCTCTCTGCAAGCTGGTCAAGCCCCCCCCCCCCCCCTCACCCCATGGAGGTTTGGCCAGCGTGGGTGAGGGGCTGATGGCTGTTTTCAGGCTGGCCACACCCCCGCTAGAATGGGGGGTCCCCACTGGGTTCCTTGTCCAGTCTGGGTGAGGGGGTGAGGGCCGTTTTCAGGCTGGCCAAGCCCCCTTGCGACGGAGGCTCCCAGGCTCTCCTTTTTTTCTTTTTTTTATTCTGGGATTTATTTACCTTCTATAATTGAAACTTTGTTGCCTTCAGTGGAGCCCAGAGCCAGCCGCGGCAGGCGGGAAGCTTGGCTTCCTCCATCACTGGAGCACGCAAGCCTCCTGCTCGCTCCAGCTCCGTGGCTGCCGGCCGCCATCTTGGCTGGGTTAATTTGCATATAGTCGCTCTGATTGGCTGGTGGGCATGGCTTAAGGCATAGCGAAGGTACGGTAAATTTGCATGGTTATTATTAGATTAGATAACTGTGAATTTCAAGTGCTGTTAAAAAATTGAAAAAGAATTTAATTAAAAAATAAAAAAAGAATTCAAGTGTAGGGCTTATTCATTCAATACCTGTCAGGGCACATTACTGAGTATTAACAGGGTTGATCCCTGGAAAGGCACACGGGAAGACAACTATTTATGTTTCTCTCTCACATCAATGTTTCTCTCCACTACTCTCTCTCTTCCTCATTCCAAAAATGCAATTTAAAAAACTAACAAAGAATGAGTACTGATAATGAGCAAATATGTCAAAAGTTTATAGAACTTTAATGCTATGAGTTTTGTGAAGTATGTGACTTAATCTGCAACTTATATGTACCAATTAGTTACACTAACAGGATTTTTTTCAGTGCAGTCTTCAAACTAGTTTGGAAATATGTGTTAAAATTTTAAAGTTTTCATTGTCAATTATACAGTGTACATTATCACATGGTATTGTGGGGATATGAAGTAACATGAAGGTTTCCTACATTTTTACATTCAATACAATTCTCCACTTTGAGTTTTTTTCATGACCTTTCCAAGAAAGAGGGACAGCTGAAGGCTTCCCCACCTTCTCTATATGTATACACTATTTCTCCAGGTGCATTTTCACATGTCTAAGAAAGGCTCTCCCACATTCCTTATGTTCATACTTATTCTTGGGTGTGAGTCCCTTCATGATTTTGTAAAGAACTAGGATGGCCAAAGGCTCTTCTACAATCTTTACATGACAGGCCTTCTCCTCAGTGAGTTCTTTCATCCTTTACAATAAACTGAAACTTTCATCCTCAATAAACTGAAAGAAATGAATGCTTTCTAACCCTCTTACATTTCTAGGGTCCATCCCCAATATGGATAATCATATATGATGGCACAGCTGAGAGATAAATGAAGGCTCTTTGCTATTCTTTACATTAACAGTGTTTATCAATACATTTTTGTTTTCACATGTCTGTAAAAACTAGTTAGAACCTGAAGGCTTTACCACATTCCTTACATTGCTATGGTTGCTCTCCACTATGAGAATTTTTGTGAATTTCAAAGGATCTGGGATGATTATAGGCTTTCTCACATTACTTGCATTCATAGGGTTTCTCCCCAGTATACATTTCATGATATCTACGAGAAAAGGGGATAACAAAAAGGTTTACCTCATTCCTTATTCATGAGGCTTCTTTCCATCATGAGTTCTTTTATATCTTGGAAGATGTGAAGTACAACAGAAAGTTTTCCCACATTGCTTACATTCATAAGGTTTTCCCCCATCATGAGTTTGTTCATGTCTTTGAAGATGTGTGAGCAAACTGAAGGTTTTATCCACATTGCTTACATTAATAGGGTTTTCCCTTATTATGAATTCTTTCTTGACTTTAGAGGGAATGTGCATAAAAGAAAGCTTTACATTGCTTACATTCATAGGGTTTTATCCCAGTATGAGTTCTTTCATGTTAGAGAGAAAACAGATAATAGAAACCTTTATCACAATGCTTATATTCATAGCATTTTATCCCAGTATGAGCTCTTTTATGACGACGGAGGTAAGTTAGTTGAGAGATATCTTTACCACAATATGTACATTCTTAGGGTTTTTCCCGAGTATGCATTCTTTCATGAATTCTAAGCAAAGAAGGATAAAGGAAAGTTTTACCACAATCCTTACATTCATGAGGCTTCTTTCTGTCATGATTTCTTTTATGTGTTGCAAGAGAATTGGGAGAACTGAAGGCTTTCTCACATTGCTTACATTCATAGGGTTTCTCCTCAGTATGCATCCTTTCATGATTTCTAAGAAGAATGGGATGTCGAAAAGCTTTCCCACATTGATTACATTCATAGGGTTTTTCTTTACTATGAGTTCTTTCATGACATTGGAGGGAAGTTAGATAAGAGAAAGCTTTACCACAATGGTTACATTTATAGGGCTTTTCCCCAGTATGCATTCTTTCATGAATTCTAAGCAAAGAAGGATAAAGGAAAGTTTTACCACATTCCTTACATTCATGAGGCTTCTTTCCATCATGATTTCTTTTATGTGTTGCAAGAGAATTGGGAGAACTGAAGGCTTTCTCACATTGCTTACATTCATAGGGTTTCTCCTCAGTATGCATCCTTTCATGATTTCTAAGAAGAATGGGATGTCGAAAAGCTTTCCCACATTGATTACATTCATAGGGTTTTTCTTTACTATGAGTTCTTTCATGACATTGGAGGGAAGTTAGATAAGAGAAAGCTTTACCACAATGGTTACATTCATAGGGCTTTTCCCCAGTATGCATTCTTTCATGAATTCTAAGCAAAGAAGGATAAAGGAAAGTTTTACCACAATCCTTACATTCATGAGGCTTCTTTTCATCATGATTTCTTTTATGTGTTGCAAGAGAATTGGGAGAACTGAAGGCTTTCTCACATTGCTTATATTCATAGGGTTTCTCCCCAGTATGCATTCTTTCATGATTACTAAGAAAAGTGGAATGTCTGAAAACTTTCCCACATTGCTTACATTCATAGGATTTGTCCCTAGTATGCATTCTTTCATGATTTCTAAGAGATATGGAATATCTGAAAGCTTTCCCACATTGCTTACACTCATAGGTGTTCTCCATAATATGCGTTCTTTCATGATTGCTAAGAGATTTGGAAAAACTAAAAGTCTTACCACATTGCTTACATTCATAGGGTTTTCCCCAAGTATGAGTTCTTTCATGACGTCGTAGGGAACTCCGATGAAAGAAATCTTTACCACAATGCTTACATTCATAGGGTTTTTCCCCAGTATGAATTTTTTCATGAATTCTAAGGGAATACTGATAAAGGAAAGTTTTACCACATTCCTTACATTCATAAGCCTTCTTTCCATCGTGATTTCTTTTATGTGTTGCAAGAGAATTGGGAGAACTGAAGGTTTTCTCACATTGCTTACATTCATAGGGTTTCTCCCCAGTATGCATCCCTTCATGATTTCTAAGAAGAATGGGATGTCGGAAAGCTTTCCCACATTGCTTACATTCATAGGGTTTTTCCTTATTATGAGTTCTTTCATGACATTGGAGGGAAGTTAGATAAGAGAAAGCTTTACCACAATGGTTACATTCATAGGGCTTTTCCCCAGTATGCATTCTTTCGTGAATTCTAAGCAAAGAAGGATAAAGAAAAGTTTTATCACATTCCTTACATTCATAAGGCTTCTTTCTATGATGATTTCTTCTATGTTTTCCAAGAGAGCAGAGAGAACTGAAGGCTTTCCCACATTGCTTACATTCATAGAATTTTTCCTTATTATGAGCTCTTACATGACTTCTGAAGGAAGTTGGATGAAAGAAAGCTTTACCACAATGGTTACATTCATAGGGTTTTTCCCCAGGATGAGTTCTTTCATGTTAGAGAGAAAACAGATAATAGAAACCTTTATCACAATGCTTATATTCATAGCATTTTATCCCAGTATGAGCTCTTTTATGACGACGGAGGTAAGTTAGTTGAGAGATATCTTTACCACAATATGTACATTCTTAGGGTTTTTCCCGAGTATGCATTCTTTCATGAATTCTAAGCAAAGAAGGATAAAGGAAAGTTTTACCACATTCCTTACATTCATAAGCCTTCTTTCCATCGTGATTTCTTTTATGTGAGAGTACTTGGGAGAACTGAAAGCTTTGCCACACTGCTTACTTTGATATGGTTTCTCTCCGCTATGAGTATTTTCATGAAGTTTAAAGAAAATGAGACGACTAAAGCCTTCCCCATATTGCTTACACTCATTTGGTTTGCCAGCAATATGCATTCTTTCATGATTTCTAAGGGAAGTTGAATAGTGGAAAGCTTTCCCACTAGGACTGCCTTCATGTCTTTGAATATGTTGGTAATGCTTGAAAGCTTTCTCAGGTTCCTTACATTTATAAGGGTTTTCTTCATATTCCTGACACAGGTATAGTTTGGGTCCAATGTGAGAGCTCAGGTGGTTATTCAAGGAGTACAGGGCATGCAGGAAGAGGTCTATTGATTTTTCTATCTCTCCCTCTCACCTCCACATACTAAAATCAATAAAAACATATTTTTTACCACCAGCGAGGCTCAGTGCTTGAGCACAGACCTCTGAACCAGGTGGTCATCTTCAATTTCTGGGCATATTCCCAGGTTCTGGACATGATTCCGAATGGGGGGCATGCAGGAGGCAGTCATCAATAATTATCTCTCATCATTGATGTTTCTTTCTCTTTCTCCTTCTTCCTACCTCTTTGAAATAAATTTTAAAAATATTAAATATATAAATAAGTAAATAAAAAATATAAAAACCTATTTTAAAAAAACACAAAGATGCTCTTAATGCTTTGTCATGGCAATGCGACTCACCTAAGATTCATCCCATGATTTTCATACTGATCTTCACTGTCATGGTCCTCACATTGTTCTTCTAAAATACATGCTAGAAAAAGCATTATAAACTATTAAAGAATTTTAAAAATGGTTAGATTTTAGGTATACAATGAGCTGTGATCATTCCTGGTTTAATTACCAATGTATTCCCTTTCCATATTTCAGTTCTTGAAACGGCATTAATGAGCAAGCAACACTAGTTTTCTGATTGCCTAAGTAACAAGTTGTTGCAGACCATAGTTGCTCTGTGGTTGACCGTCAACCTATGAACCGGTAGATCACAGGTGAATTTCTAGTAGGACTGATTTGCAGGCTAGATCCCCAGTGTGAGGCATGCAGGAGATACCCAATCAGTGATTCTGTCTCATCATTGATTTTGCTCTCATTCTCTCCCTCCCCTTCCTCCCTAAAATTAATAAAAATATATTTAAAAAAAATTTTTGATACCTACCAACTGATGCCAGGTTCCAGAAGGTTTCCAGCATCACATCTGTGTAGAGTTTCTTCTGGGTGGGATCCAGGAAAGCCCACTCCTCTGTGGTGAACTCCACATTAACATCCACAAAGGCCACTGAGTCCTAAAACATCCCACATATGCATATAGGAATATGGGTAAGATAGACAGAACTGGGAACTTATACATTAATTCATAAGAAGTTCACATAGGACACATGGTCCCCAACATTTAGTATATGACTTCATTGTAGTAAGACTATTATTAATTTGCTAATCTCACTTCCTCAAGAACACATGGAACTTATTGGTATGATTTTACTGTGATCGCTTCAAGTCTTCATTGCTCTCAAATGTCAGGGTAAAGACCACCTTGAACAACTTCTATGTTAACATATTAAAATACTTCTATTTTAAGCCCATCGATTCCTTGTGAGAAAACTCATCTCCATTATAACCACCTTTTGATGCAGCTGTCCATGAAACATACTGTCATATCTGCATAGTTTTAGTGACTGTGAATACAATAAAGGCCTGGTAGCTTGCTCTTCTATTCTCATCACCAAACAGAAGAGGCCAGGAGGTGTGTGAAAATTCAAATGAGAACAAAATTTGCCATATTGACCGGAAGTACTCCAGATTATTAGAAGTAGTCAGATACACCTGAATGAATGAAAATATTCTTGTGGAGGAGTATGAATGATGATTTGTTTTCATAGTATTTGTTAGTAACTCAGTTTGACCTTCTTTTGCCTCTCTCATTTCATGGA